CGGAGTTCGCGTTGATTGGAGGATCGGCTCTGGAGTCGTGCCAAAGTCGAGACTTCTCCTTTAGGGAGGGGACTGTATGAACAGAGTTGGAGATTTAGTCTTCTTGGAGACTTTGTGGATCTTGCGCATAGCCTTAGAGCTAAGGGATCCGGAGGAGATGGCCTCCTCGTACTTGGCTTGATCAAACTCGATAATCAGAGTTTCAATGGTCGTTCCAGTGAGATGAACGTCGGATTGCACCACCACTTCTTCGTCAGAGAAGCTAGTCCCCAGCAGAGTCGCCATCTTTTGTTTGTTGGAAATTTGTAGTAAAAGAAATAATGAAAGAAAAATTTGACTTGTATTCCTCTCAAAATCAATTACAATTTGGATTCCGATTACAAAAGAGAGGAGAATGAATTTGATTCTCCCCTTTATTTAAAACTGGGTTCTTCACGGTGGCGATGAGATGCCTCCCTCGAATGCTCGCGTCGAGTTTGCTTCTCGTTGACGATCCGAACGTCTTGATTCACTGGAACGATGTCTTCTCCTCACGATTTGACGCTGTGGAGAACTTGCGTGGCAAGTTTGAAAATAACTCTTAACGAGTTGATAACTCTGAACGAGTTTTAGAAGAACTCGTAGAGTAAGTTTTGAACTCTGATCGAGTTGATAACTCTGACGAGTTTTAGAAGAACTTGCAGAGCAAGTTTTGAACTCTGATCGAGTTGATAACTCTGAACGAGTTTGAACTCTTGAAAAAGAGTTGATTTGAACCGAAAGTTCGGTTAATAAGCCAAGGAAGAAGCTCCTGTTGCTGGTCTCCAAAACTCCTTGTTGCTGCAGAACGCGGCAAGATGCTCGATCAAGGATCCCCAAAAAGTCAGCTCCCCCTTTATTTGGAGGATCCGAACTCAGTTGAGTTTTGAGGTATTTATAGGGGGTTAAGGGTATAACCGCCCCCTTAAATATCTCCTTAATGAGGGTTTAATGGGGTGTAACTGCCCCTCATAAATCTCTCCATGATAGGGTAGTGATCCCCTAAAATCTTGGGGAGAAAACGGTTCTGGAACCGTTCAAATCGTGCTTGAACGAGTTAAACGCTGAAAACAGCGTTCTGGGCTCGAACTGTGCGTTTCTGGACCTGAAACGCACAGTTGAGGCTGAAAACGCACAGCTGGGGCTGAAAACGCACAGTTGAGGCTGAAAACGCACAGCAGTTGAGTTTTGAGGTATTTATAGGGGGTTAAGGGTATAACCGCCCCCTTAAATATCTCCTTAATGAGGGTTTAATGGGGTCTAACTGCTCCCCATAAATCTCTCCATGATAGGGTAGTGATCCCCTAAAATCTTGGGGAGAAAACGGTTCTGGAACCGTTCAAATCGTGCTTGAACGAGTTAAACGCTGAAAACAGCGTTCTGGGCTCGAACTGTGCGTTTCTGGACCTGAAACACACAGTTGAGGTTGAAAACGCACAGCTGGGGCTGAAAACGCACAGTTGAGGCTGAAAACGCACAGCTGGGCAAACGCAGAGTTGTGCCTGTTTAAAGGCTGAAAACGCACAGTTGTGCTGTTTTAGAGATTAACTCTGCGTTTTGATGTTGAAAACGCAGAGTTGAGCCTGTTAAAGACTGAAAACGCACAGTTTGTGCTGTTTTAGAGATGAACTCTGCGTTTTAGGCTGAAAACGCAGAGTTGTGCCTGTTTAAAGGCTGAAAACGCACAGTTGTGCTGTTTTAGAGATTAACTCTGCGTTTTGATGTTGAAAACACAGAGTTGAGCCTGTTAACGACTGAAAACGCACAGTTGTGCTATTTTAGAGATTAACTCTGCGTTTTGATGTTGAAAACACAGAGTTGAGTATGTGCGCTTTGACTCTGTAATGCAGAGGCGAACCTTAGGCGGGCTTCGCGGGCTTCAGGCTAAGTCCAATGTTCTGACGAAGTCCAGTCTTGCAGACGGTCTTCAGAACATTACTTGCTACGAAGAACAGGTCATAACTTTCAAACCGTACGTCGGAATTGGACGAATTACATATGAAAATCGGCTATCTCGACGAGACGGGGCCTTCCGAACCAAGCCAAAGGCTTCGGTTCGCTTCCTCCGTTTTGCCAAATTCCTTACGGTTTGAGAGATATCTGCATTTTAATATGAAGAGACCGTCAATTTGTAGTCTCTTTTGCTAGAGCTTTGCACAGATCGTCCTCTTGTAATCTTCGTCTTGGCTCCTTGAAAATATGAGAGTCGTCAGGTTGTAACTCCCGATGTTGATTGTGAATGCTGTTGAATTGGGGCCTTCATTAGTTGTTGTGAAGGTCGTCAGATTGTAACCTTCTACGTGAAAGTCCTCAAATTGTAGCCTTCTGGAAGTCGTCAGATTATAACTTCCATCATCGGTGTTTGATGAGGGATTAATTATCTATTGTGATTTTTAGACAGCCTACAATGGACATGGATTTATTTTCTAAAGAGGAAGTCAGAGGTATTCTCTAAATTCAAGGAGTTCAAGATGATGGTGGAAGCAGATCTTGTCTTCAAGATGACCATGGAAGGAGTTCTTGACAAGAAGATCAAGAGGTTGCGGACCAACAATGGAGGAGTATACATCTCACGAATTCTCCCACTTTTATCAGCAATACGGCATCAAACAAAAGTTGTCTTGTAGGGAGACATCATAGCAAAATAGCATCGCTGAGAGGTAGACAGATATCTCATAGAGACCTGCAAAAATTGGTCGCATACAAAAAATCTACCTAAGGACTTTATGGCTGAAGGGTATGGCTTGTGTAGCATATGTCATCAATCGCATGCTTCTTAATCTAAAAAATCTGAAACCCCTTTATGAGCTGATATGGGGAGAGAAAGCAAATGTGAAGCATTTCAAATTATTCAGCTCCATCTTTTATGTTCATGTACTGCTTCTAAAAGGAGAAAACTTGATGCTAACGCTAAAAAAATGTATTTTCGTTGGTTATGTTGAACGAAAGTAAGGGTGAAAATACATGAACCCAGAGACTCATCGCTTCATAGTTTCTCGAGATGTGATGTTTGATGAGGCGTCTCTTACTATTCTCCTCAAGGCATTGTGGTCAATGATGTTGGAGGGCATAGCAATGATGAAGATGATTTAGTTCCTATAGTGAGTTTGCCATCTTCATCAAGTGTTACATGTGCATCTAGTTCTTCCTCATCTTCGACATCGGGGGAGCAAAGTGAAAGGCGAAGCAATGTTTGTTAGGACGTAGTCTGTACAATAGCTCTTGTTTGAGTAATAACAAACTCTTAATTTGGTACTAATATTTATTTGAGATGATATAGTATAAGTGAAAACAGATTTATGAAGGTTACAAGACGAAACGACACGAAAATTATCATTTATGCTGATATGAGCCTTAGAGCCATCGATAGTCTATAGGAACCCATCTATGATTAAGGTTTATCGATGGTGTACAGTGAACAATTACAGAATCTTAGAAAGTTAATTTCAAATCACCGATGGTCTATAGTGAACGATCAATGGTCACCACACCTCATCAATAAAATTAAATCATCGAGGATTTGAGGAGTTAATCACAATCGTCCTTTGATCCCTTTCATCTCAATCAATGGTCATGAGGAACCATCAATGGAGACAAAGATTTTTGGTAGATTTGAGGAGTTAATCACAATCGTCCTTTGATCCCTTTCATCTCAAAATTTTACTATGATTTTGGATATCTCTTTTATAATTAGAGGCCATATAAGATTGAAAGAGATAATATTTGAGGAGAGTTTTAGAGTTTAAAAAGAGAGCTTTTGGAGAGAACTTAAAAGGAGAATTTATAGTGTTTGTGAGAAGAAGTTTGTACTTGAAATTTGAACCCCCAGAGTCTAAACAAACTCTTTCTTATTATGCTCAAAATCTTTATATTGTCTTAGCAAGAGGAGTTTCCCTTGTATTCAACATCTACATCGTTCTTTATCAAGCTTTCCTTCAATCTTTTGAAGAACAGTTTGCTAATCAAAAGAGATGTACGTAAGATCTTTTTAATTTTATATTTAAACTATTTTTGATAGATTGTTCCAAACTTATTTCTTTGGCATACTCAAGTCGGTGATAATTGAGGGTTGGGACTAGCTACGGCTAGGTGTTACTCGCTTTGGAGAGTTAAGTTAGACGATTGATTTTGGATGGATTCTAGGATGGGATCTTTATAAGTATACTAAATTGGTTGTGATTTAGGAAAACTCTTAATATAGTGAGGAATTCCCTCCATAAGAAGGAAAAGTAGAGATAGGATTGTTATCATAACCACGATAAAAATCTCGTATGTTCCTTGGTCGATTTTTAGTTTGGTTTTTTGCTTTAACTTGTCTATATTTCCACCGCATATTCTGTATTTTAGCAAAAACAGTAGCAAACATATTTATGATCCCCCACCCACCCCCACCCCTTTTTAGGCTTGCATCTCAGATTCAACAATATTATCTCTGAAAATCAAACAGAGGAGAACATTGAAGCTATAGAAAGTACACCATCTCTCAGAAGATCAACAAGAAAGATTGTCAAGCCAACTCGGTATCGAGATGGAGATTTTGTGTCTTCGACTTCTTGCTTCTTTGTAAGACCTACAGATGCAAATGAACCTTCGTGTTATGATGAATCCAAAGGCATAAAAGAATGGGAGGATGCAATGGACGAGGAGATGCATGCTCTACAAAAGAATTATACTTCGATTCTTGTGCCAAAACTCAAGGATGTAAACCCAATGATGTGTAAATGGGTTTACAAGCTAAAGAGAGGCAAATGGGAGTGTTGATCAATAGAAAGCAATGCTTGTTGCATGGGAGTTTCCTAAAGTTCATGGACAAGATTATGAAGAGACTTTTAGTCATGCCACAAAGATGACTTCAGTTCTGGTGATCATTTCCTTAGCAGCTAGTCTTGGTTAGGGATTTTTGCAACTAGATGTGAAGAGTGTTTTTCTCTACAGAGAGTTGACAAGGATATCTATATGGAGTAGCCGCCAAGTTATGTATGTTCTTCTCATCCGAACTATGTTTGCAAACTCAAGAAAACCCTCTTATGGCTTAAAGCTGGCTCCCCGAGCTTGGTATGGTAAAATAGCACAATACCTTGAATTTTTTAGTTATATTGCCTCACAGTTAGGTTCAAGTTTATTTGCAAAGAAACATGGTGATATTCATATTATTGTTCTCTCATACGTTGGTGAAGGATTTAGGCGAGCTACCTATCCGCTTTCAGATGAAGGATTTACCGCATTATTTCCTTAGCTTGGAGATAAATTATGTCAAGAAATGAGTTTTTGTTTCTCAGAGAGGCTATGCAAAAAAAGGTTGTTGAAAGGTTTGACATAAAGGAAGGAAAGCAATGCTCCATGCTTCTTGATGCAAACATGAAGCTAAGGCAAGAAGAAGGAAAGCTTCCTTCAGGTCATCGACCATTTCGTGCCCTTGTTGGAAGTCTAATTCAAATGATGTAGACATTCTAAGATTCATAGAGATTAAAAGTCATATAGTTTCAATTTATCTTTAGCCTATACATCTCATAACCTAAAAAATGAGCAGTTTGCAACATTGTCTCACATTTGATTTCTTGAGTTGCTTGATTCTAGAATAGGAAATTCTAAACCACATTATTTTGGATCCACTTGAGTTTGAGGACATGTAGATAATAATGAATAGTTTTAGTTAACAATATTGATCGACAAATGCGTACTTCAAAAGGGTGTAACAAAGTAAGTTACACCTTGTGTGTAATACCGTAAGCCAACCAACATGTACATATATACAAATATGTATATTGTAAATATATGTAGATACATAAATATATGTATATGTACACACACACATCTGATGACAACTTATATATTGTACAAATATAATGGGTATCATATGGCATATCAAGGATTATCTCATATATAGTGATATGGTTGAATCTCAGGCGAATGAATAAAGATCTTTTTTCTTTAGTACTTTACTCAAACCACATAGTAGGTTGAGATTCAGTCACAATTACTACATATGTGAGAATGCTCACATATGCCATATTATACTCATTACTCTTATATTATATATACATATATAGTATACGTACAAATAGAGGTATGTACTTAGTCTGAGCTGCCGCATTATTTTGCTAATGCGTAAATAACTGTTGGATTTATCCTTGTCCAATCGCAGGTAGAAGGAGCAGTTGCAGAGGACGGAAGAAAACCCAGCATCTGGGACACCTTTACACATGATGGTAGACGTATGTGTTAGAGTATAATATTATGACTTTTAACTTTGAAGTTTTGATATAGTGGACAATATAAAACTATAACCATCAATCCTCACTATGATTTTATGCTCTAGTGGGAGGAACCTTTAACATAATATCAAGGCACCAAGTTCAAATCTCATCGGCCAAGCATTTAAAAGTCGTTTTGTGAGTCCATGTATTGAACACTATAAAAAGGGCACTCGACCTGTGGATTATAAAACTTTAACCCAGCCCTCATCACCTTGAGGCTTTTGGGATAATGACTGGATCCTTCGATTTTGTGTCGTCATAACCTATAGCTAATGATGATCCATGGAGCGCCAACAGCAGAACCTCAAGGTTTCGTTGCTACATTTACAGGTCTAAGTGACGATCAGGCAACAGGAGATATAGCAGCAGATCAGTATCATAAATACAAGGTAAAGACTAAAGAGGCTACCTTTATTGTCCTACAACTAAGCTCAATTTCTAAGAAATGTCGTTCTTTGTTTGATGACAGGAAGATGTAAAGTTGATGCATGATATGGGCCTGGATGCGTACAGGTTCTCCATCTCCTGGTCGCGACTTATTCCCGGTATAGAATATTTTCTATTTCGATCAATAGAAGTTTCAAGCAAAAGAACATAACTATACATGTCCATGGTTTTATTTTTTTTTTATTTTTTTTGGCAGATGGACATGGGGATGTAAATGCAAAAGGCTTGCAGTACTATAACAATCTGATCGATGAACTCGTGAGCTATGGTAATATATGCTTAAAATGTTCTTTAAAAAATTTTAGGAGATATAATGTTGAGTTCAAATGCTGCTAGTAGTCCAGTAGTAGCTCACTAGTTAATGGCAGTCTAATCTTTTTATTATTAATTTATATTCTCCTCTTTTCAAATCTTAAAGGAATAGAGCCTCATGTTACCTTGCACCACTTTGACCTTCCACAAGCGCTTGAAGATGAGTATGGAGGAGTACTGAGCCCGAGAATAATGTAATCCTCTAATCTTTCTTGCTGGTTTTCATCATAGGTTTAATTGCACGTAGGACCCCCGACGCTATTTTGAACTTGCTATATCCTTGTCATAGACCCATCGGTTTTAATTGCTCTTTTACCCCGGGTGAGTTGTAGTAGATATCGCCTATGGTTGAAATTAGCGAGTCTATCTGAGGGTAAAAGAGTCAAAAAAAAATTAACCCGAGGGGCTACCTACGCGACGAAATCACAAAGAGTGGTAAGTTCAAAAAAAGTGACACTACAGGCCGGTCTATATGCAACTGACGATCTATCATACTTGATATCAGCAGCATGCGAAAATTAACATCTGTAACTTTCCGGTGTTGAACCAGAGAGGATTTCACCGCTTACGCCGACGTATGCTTCAGAGAATTCGGGGACAGAGTGAAATACTGGGCAACCTTTAATGAACCCAGGGTTCAGGCGCTCTTCGGTTACCAGTTCGGCACTTTTCCGCCTCGACGCTGCACCCACCCTGTTGGTTCCAACTGCACCAAGGGAGGTTCAACAAGCGAGCCGTATCTAGCCGCTCATAACCTTCTTAGATCACATTTATCGGCCGCCACATTGTACAAAGACCAGTATCAGGTACAGTATAACTGATGAAAACTATTTTGAGTTTGACACATTCTTCATGAATGACACGATTTGGTCCTTCGGATTTTTTTTTTTTTTTCCTTCCCCTTGTGCACTTTCAGATTTACTGAAAGAGAGTTTTCGGTTTAAAATGATCAGGTCCCTCTTAAAGTATTACTGAACTCCCACATTGTCGTCTAGAGTATCAATTTACCTACCATCCGCCTTGTAATATATGCATAGATCCAATATTGCAGTCCTTTTGTGAAACCACAATCGATGTTCAACAAATCCATAACGCGACGCAGTTTTTTCTCATTCCTTCTATTTCTACGCAATCGTAGAAAAGGGATGAAGGGTAAAGTGCTTTTGGGAAAAGTAGTTTGGGTTTTTTTTTTTTTTACTGTTTTGAAGGAAAAATTAAAGGAGATGGGAAAGTTGTGAAGGTTTTTTTTTAAGCTCTCGCAAAACCCCCCCAAAAAAACCATCAAACGCAGCAAATAAAATCATATAAGATTTAACATGGAAAACCCTCAACAGGGAAAAACTACGGGATCAAAATTCACTATCACCTTCAAATTATAATTTTTTGCACGGACCAAAGGACAAACAAACGGCTCTCTCTCTCTCTCTCTCTCTCTCTCTCTCTCTCTCTCTCTCTCTCTGTCTCTACTATATATCATATATAATATATATATATATATATATATATACTATATATATATATTATATATATATATATATATCCTCTTCTAAACAATAGAAGGATATATATAGAGAAACTAAAATCCTATCTCTAGCCTAACTTCCTAATTAGAATAAGATTCAAACTACCAATCATGATGGAACCCAAACTCCTAATCATGATAGATCCTTAACCTTATCTAATTCTCATAAAGTTATACAAAAAATTAAAAACTCTATCCTAACTTGGAGTTTGAGTAGATACCCAACATATCCTTGCTCGACGAAAAATCTCCAAGTGTCTCAACGACTTCAGAAAAACTTACTCTATTCATCTTGTTCTTCACCTCTCCCTTGTGGACAAGAGTCTGAGAAGAGTAATCTGCACCATTAACGGATCGCACATCTAAATAGCAAATATGATTGCTACTCTTCCTCCCTCGCAAAATCAAATCGTCATCTCTATACACATTGCAGCATTCTCCTTCACCCACATATTTGTACCCACGTGATGTCATCTCACCCAACGAAATTAAATTAGCACCACATGTCGGCACATATCTCACATGATGAAGAATTCTGACCTTCTCAGTGTGAAACTTGAAGCGAACACTTCCAACACCTTCAACCTTCATCTTCTCGTTGTTTTCAACAATCACGTCGTCAAATTCTTCGTCTTTAATGTGTTAAAATAATTTTTATTGTTGCAAACGTGCATAGAGGCTGCAGAATCTAACACCCAAGTATTACTCGTATCAGTACCTGTACTCTGCATCAAAAAAACCACATCTTCATCACACACAACCATTGATGAGTCAGTCTTCTTCCCATTTTCTTGAAGTTCCATATGTCAAATACTTTTCAAATCATCACGCATCTGGGAACATCTGAACTGAATGTGACCATTCTCTCCGCAATAATAGCACTCCTTTTCGCTGTCGTCCCAGGCCCGAGATTTTGACCTTCCTCGATAACTCTCACATCTCCCCATACTCCTCCCTCGATTAGAACATTCAAAAGCTAGTGCACTCTCACCACCATTAGATGCGCTCTCCTTTCCCATCATTCTTTTATTCTCATGTAGGAGTGCTGTCACATCGTCGAACTTCAAAGTCTGCTTCCCTACAATTATCGTCTGAACTAACAGCTTGTACGACTTCGGCAAGGAAGACAATAGGAGTAGCGCCTGCTCTTCTTCTTTAATCTCCTCATCAATATTCAAAAGTTGGCAAACTAATTGATTAAAGACATTGATGTGATCTTGAATTGCAGTACCTTCTTTCACCTTCAACGAATAAAATTCTATCCTCAAACACAATCGGTTGGTCATCGACTTTGATGCATAAATCCCTCGAGCCTTCCCACAACCCCCTTGGTGTGGTCTCTTGCATAACATTGTACTTGATCTCGGGGGGTGAGTGCCAAACAAATTGTGGTAACCGCCATCTTTTGTATGGAACTTCATTCAACATCCTTCAATCCTTCAGGTTTCTTCTCCTCCAAAGCTTGATCAACACCCTGCTGCACAAGAATATCTTGAATCGTGCACTGTCATATTGCAAAATTTGTCTTGCCATTGAATAACGGAATATCAAACTTCGGACCCGAAGAAGTCATCATCCTCTAACTAGGATCAAAATTTAAATCAATCACTGTAGAGATTAAATTTAATAAAACCGACATCAAAAACGAACTCAGCACGTCGAAAACCTCTAGGAACAACTCATGGATCACCGAAATCCGCCTCCAAATCCTCGATCAAAAAACAAATCAACCTCAACCATCGGATCTGTCGTCGCTACAGTACCTGCCACTACAGTACCATGAATAGTGTGTCACCGTGAACAGTTCCTCCACTATAGTACCACGATGAACAGTAACGTTGCCGCCAATGTCGTTGCAAATCTCGAATCTCCACGAACCGTCGAACCCCGCTCTGATACCACTTGAAGGGGTTTTTTTTAGATCTCGTAAAAACCCCCCAAAAAAACCATCAAACGCAGCAAATAAAATCACACAAGATTTAACGTGAATAATCCTCAACAGGGAAAAACCACGGGATCAAAATCAATCAACTATCACATTTAAATTACAATCTTTTGCACGGACAAAGACTGCCAAACCCTCTCTCTCTCTCTCATTATTCTTCTAACAATAGAAGGATATATATAGAGAAACCAAAACCCTATCTCTAGCCTAACGTCCTAATTAGAATAAGATTCAAACTCCTAATCATGATAGAACCCAAACTCCTAATCATGATAGATCCCTAACCTTATCTAATTCTCATGAAGTTATACAAAGAATTAAAAACTCTGTCCTAACTTGGAGTTTGAGTAGATACCCAACAAGTTGGTGGTCATTTGGTCCTTTTTAATACTATGAAAGCTAGATAGAGTTTCTTCTATTAATTTATAAAGCTTGCTTTGCATGCAGGCGGTGCAAGGAGGGAAGATAGGAATTACCACGTCGTGTCCGTGGTATTCCCCTTCAACAAATTCACAAGAAGATATCATCGCAGCGCAGCAGGCCAGGGATTCCAACATAGGATGGTAAGGGCCGCATATTTGAGAATGTAGTATAGCGATCGTATTTTTCTTTTTCTTTTTTTTGGGTAAATTTACAATAAACCCTCAAGAAATTTCGGGCTTTCTGGCAAACCCTCAATATAGCTTCCGAAATCATGCTGAACCCCCAACAACTTTCGCGTGGTTCTGCAGACCCTCCGATAAGTCTCTATGTTTGCAACCCCTATAAATTAATTGAAGGGGGAGAACATAGAAAGACATTTTGAAAATTATTGGGGGGTCTACTCTAATTTGCCCAAAAGATTTCTACAGAATTTATCTAGGGATCAACGCGATTTTGGAAGTTATAAATGGTTTACTACAAAATGCTGAAAGTTCTTAGGCATTTAGCGTAAGTTTTATCCTTTTTTTTTTCTCTCTCTCTCTATATATGTGACCAGGATCATCAATCCACTTGTGTACGGGGACTACCCTCCTATCATGAGGGAGAGTTTGGGATCAAATCTGCCTTCGTTTGATGCAGAAGAATCCATGAAGTTAAAACAATCATTTGATTTCATTGGGTTGAACCATTATAATTTGTATTATGTGAAATACAAACCTAACAAGTATGACAAGAGTGATAAGGACGTCAAAAATGTCTCGGCTAAAGACTCCGGTAAGTAGCAATGACCTTCGGTACGTAGTATCTCCCTTTTGAACTTACTGTCCCTTTAGTTTTACTGTTGCAGATAGACCCCCCCCAAACGGAAAAAAATAATTTTTGTAACTCTTTTAGGAGCTGTTTGTTTGCATAAGGAGGAAGGGGAAAACCTGTCAAAACTGACACTTGTGACAGGCTTTCAATCCATTTCCCCCTCTAAAAGAGGTAACCAAACGCGTCCTTAACCTCACAAGACGGAAAGTTGCAAACCGCCCAAAAGGTAAAAGAGTAAAATAATAATAATAAAAATTCAAGCAAGATGTATATACAACAACAAAACTAGAGGGGCGGTAAGTTCAAAACAACGATACTAAATTGGATAGATTTTGTAGTAACCCGATAGTAAATTCCTTTTGTTTGCTTTTTGACGCAGATACACGATTAGGCGCATCGGAGAAGGTAGAAAACTCTATATTTAAATAATATTTATAAGGGAGTTTTATTGTAGATATTCTCACCAAGGTGAAACATTTTTTTACAGTTTCTCACGGTGAAAGAGGCGTCTTCAGCTAATGCTCCGTGGGCTTTCCAGGCGACGCTTGAGTACGTTAAAATAAAATACAGGAATCCTCCGATCATCGTTTATGAAAATGGTAAGAAACGCCTATCATATTGGATAATTTTTAAAAAAAGAAAAAAAGAAAGTACCCTGAAATGATGATTATTTGTTCAGGATACGGGGAATCTAATGTTGGTCCGACCACTGGGAACGGTACGGATGATTATAAGAGGGTAGCATATTTGCAGGACTACAGCGAAAGCTTGCTCCGGTCTATTAGGTACTCCCTCTTCACATTGACTGTTATAAGATTACAGTCTCAAATTACGATAGAATAAAAAAGATTGATGAGTTTAAATAAAAGTAGAAACCAATATAGCGAAGTGTACGGCACTACTAGTCTCGTACACTTCATTTCTGTTATCCTGAGTTTAAATAACAGAAAGATTGAAAGCACCCGTTTTTAATATTTATAAATAGTAAAAACGATCCTTTGGGGAAAAAAATTAACAAAATCGACCCTTTTCTTCAGAAAAGGATCGGTTTTGCTGTTATTGTGATTTAGCGAAGTGTACGGGACTACTAGTCCCGTACACTTCATTTCTGTTATCGTGGGTAAAATAGAAAAGAAGTGTACGGGACTACTAGTCCCGTTCACTTCGCTAAATCACAACAACTGCAAAACCGACCTTTTTCTTCAGAAAAGGGTCGGTTTTGCTAAAAAAAATTCAAATGGTCGTTTTTAATATTTAATTATTAAAAATAAGTGCTTTTAAAAATTTGTCCAATTTAGAAATGTTCTTCTTTTTTTCTTTTTCCTTTTTTTTTTGGAAAAAAATGTCAAGTCATAGCATTACTGTTGCAAATGTAAAGATATTGATTGTCCTGTGCAGGAATGGCTCAAACACGCTAGGGTACTTCGTGTGGTCATTTTTAGATTGTTTTGAGCTCGTGCACGGCTATACCGCACGCTACGGACTCTACGGGGTTGATTTTGAAGGAGCCGACAGGAGGAGGTTCGCGAGGCTTTCAGCTCACTGGTACTCCAAATTTCTAAGTAACGGAGGACTGATAAGAGCTCGAGCATCAAAAATTATTCGCACGGAGTAGCGAGCTTGATGTTTCCTTCGACAATGTTGTCGCTCGGATTTGATTAGTCTGTGCTCTAAATATATTGTGCGTGTCATGAGGCATTGTTTCAAACTCCTCCTGCGTTATTAAAATAAGAAAAAAAGAAGAAGCAAATGATCATTTTTCTTGCTACTAGTTTCTTCCTTTCCTCTCACTGAGTTTGGATAGATACAATGTATCTATCGTCTGCTGACTAAAAAACTCCACATGCGAGCGAAATGTTCTGAGTTTTGAGGGGGCAATGACGATTCGATAAAATCATCTTTGCCAGAGCCTTCGAGAAGTAATAGGTAATAGGTAACGCGATTTAAAATTTCCTTCATTGCACAATGTTTCTTCCAAACTGAAAATTCCAATTTTGGATACATCAGTCTCCCTGTGCATGCAAGCCCAGAGAGCTATGCCTGTAAAGAACGAACAGGGTAAACCGAACGGGAAAAATATTCAGAGAAACATACATACAAACTCCGTACACAAGCACCTTGATCAAAATTGTATCCAAACAAGCTACGCGATAGGAAGGCAGTTTAGAAATCTTATATGTCTTCGCGGTGGTTAACAACAATTGCTCTCAATATTGCAAATATTTTGATAGGTTTGAATTCAGAAGATACTAGGTATCTGTATTTTGTCAAATTATGAATGCTAAATCAAATTCAAATCGGATTGTTCAAATCCACTTACATCCTTCAATGCAAACGAGAAATGGGTGCACTGACCCAGCTACTGGGGTTCGAATTCAAGATTAGTATTAGTGAAACCTCTTGAAACCAGGATCCCACTTCCATTAGTCGAACCTATCGATCATTTAGCGTCTTCTTTGCTTCAATCTTTATAGACTCAAAAAAGCCACGATCTTCTTCAAACTATGGGTGAACACTGATAACCAAAAATTTAGGGTCCAGTCTATATCATTTTTACGAACCAAACCTAAAATAGGTGGGATTACTTGTAAAGATCTCGGTTATCATCTTCAACGAGAGGCAACGGCATCAACCTCTCGAAGAAGGCAACAAATAATACACAAAGAACATGTTTTTTTCCTAAAAAGAAAAAATTAGTTGTAAAACTGAATCCTATCTTCACTTAAGGCACTTCAACCTGTGTACAGCTTTGTGGTGATACACAACGAGAAACTGCAGGAAATATTTTAAGTTACTCACAGGAATTAGAAATGAGTCCACAAGTTTGGGGAGTTGTAAAGTGTGCTTATGAGAAGTACTTCAGTAAGGGATCATTCACTTGTAACCTGCGCAAACCTGGCATGAAGTTCATAAGAAATAAATGTGTACTATTATAATAAAAACACTAAAAAGCAGTTTCATAAATATATATTACCCAAAGGGAAATGTTTACATGACAATACCAAGTCAAATTAATGCAGAACTTTTTTTCTCAATTTTAAATATAATAATCAGGTAGAGAACCACTTATCAAGAACACATCGCTTTCTCTATCAGTTCCTGCAGTTGCCCGTTCTTGTATGCTTCTGTTAAAATGTAAACATGATAATTAATAAGAAAGCAACAAACATAGTTACCATAGTATTAAAATTAATCACCAAGTGATTTCCATGAATTTAAAGTGTCAAATAATTAGAAGCTGCAAGAAAAAAGTAAAGAGTAATCAGGTAAGTCCACCTAAATTTAAGAAAATACGAGATGATTTGGAGTAGTTCTCATCTCATGCATGCTAAGTCAAAGGATTTGTTTACTTGATTAAATTAGAAAAGACCCTTGGAGTAGTTCTCATCTCATGCATGCTAAGTCAAAGGATTTGTTTACTTGATTAAATTAGAAAAGACCCGTACCAATTATTAACCAAATAGACAGGAGAAGCAGCTTGAACATTCTCGCAATTCTAAATACTCTTATCTCAATAACTACAACCATGTCAAACAGCTTGGAGATGGAAAAGGTTTACTGTTGATCACAAGTTGGAGCTTAAAATAGCCTGAGAGTCAAAATAAAGGGGGGCAAAGTAACCAGGAAAGAAATTGAGGTAGCATCAAAATTAGGATGTCAAATTCAACGAGATGATGAGACTCAAGTGGGAGAGGCAGGGAGACTTTCTAGAACTTATTGAGATTTTTAGAAAGGAATAAAAAACACAATCATAATAAGAAAATATGGGCAAACTACTTGAAACCAGTTAGGATATAAGGGCTAATAACAAGAGGACAAATACCTGCAGAGTTTTATGTTTTTGGAACCAAGTAACAATCTTCAATGCAAAGCAAGGGTCTAAAAGCTTACAGATTTTCTATGAGAAACTGTATGGAACTCTTGTAAATTTGTACCTTGTCGTCTTACCTCTGGTCTTCCAATTTCCTTTAATATTCTACGACTACATTCTAAGATCCCCGAATCTTCCATATCACATAAAATTATCAGCCAAATCTGACTTCTTTGCAATACCTACCTGCTTTTTCCCTATTTGGCTACAAATTCCCTTTAAACAGCCACCACGGTAATATCCAAGGCTCAATAAACCAAACAATCGTATACAACTAATTCATCTCAAAACTTCTTTGATATCAGAAACAAATAAATCAACCTTAGTTTGGTGTTGCATTACATTACAAGCTCGATTGAAGTTTATACTTTTTCATGTGCCAAATTACCTTTTATCACTTCCAATTACTTCCTAGTTTCATTTTCAATTTTGACTTTCTGATCACTGTAAAGTAGGGAACTAAGCTTCCACAATGTTGATATAAAGGTGTCTAAGTTATCTAGAATACTTTTGCATAATTGGAAGCTGCGAAGCATATTTATAAAAAGGATGAATTTTAACTCTATAGTTATATTAAGCATGGCCTCATTTTCTGCATTAAAAAAAATATCCAATTAAGCTACCAAACATTTCCCATAGTGTAAAAGATAATTTTGCATCCATATATCACCTTCAATCTAATCTAAATCATCCAAAGTAGAAATTTAACATAAATCCAACAAAGTTTGCTTACCAACGGTGATATCGCATCCCCCGAAGAACTCCCCATCAATATAAAGCTGAGGGAATGTAGGCCAGCTCGAATATTCTTTGAGCCCCTGTCGCAGCGTCTCGTTCTCAAGAATATTCATCGTCTCAAATGGAACATTCAGTGACTTCAGTATCTGAACCACTGTATTTGAGAACCCACACTGTGGAAAATCCTTGGTCCCCTTCATAAACAGCAGAACCTTGTGAGAATTCACCACCGTGTCCAACGTCGACTTCAATTGCGGGCTGAGCGCTAGATTGTACAAAAAAAGGAATCAGAAGAGAAAGATTGGACCTACTAGAGGGTTGAGTACTTGCGTGAAGGGGTCGAAATGCACCAAATCCTTAACAAATAACCCGTTAAGTTTTGTCTAACTGTTCCATTATATTCAACATAAACAAATAGCTTTTAGGATTCGTTTCATAAACATATGTAATTTAAATATGCTTGATTATCAAATATCTGTTTCAAATTTGGTCCCTCACAGCTTGTATTATTGCTGAGATATGTCACGTTTTGTATCCACTTACTTTAAGTTCTACACCGAAAGAGCCACATATCAGTGTTTTAATCAGATATTCAAATTATAGATTGATTCATCATAATCCTAGATTCACAATTTTCAATATGAACTTGAATCAAATTTCTTAAAAAATTGGAAGTATTCCTTTAATCAAATAGAAATATCTTCCTCGTTAAATAGTTTTGACATTCAAAACTAGATTACCAAGATGGCATTTTTAGTAGGATTCTTTTCCCGATACGTCTTTTCTCCCCCCTTTCTTTCACTTGAGACACTCAATAGGGATCCACTATGGCACTATGGTACTATTATCAAAATTAATTTAGCCATAAAATAAATATACTTTTAATATTCCATAAACATCCGTTGATACTCGAAAAATATTTGTGACCGAATTTTAATTCTGAAGAAAATTCAGAAGACTTCAAACGAAAACATGACCACGATTTTATTCGTTCGCATCCCTCCTTGCATTAGTTAGGGTTTTGGTTACCTGAGAAGCAGCGGATCGAGAGAGAGGGGTTTGGACGGAGAGGTTGGGGGCGGGCGAAGAGGGAGAGGCGGCGAAGGGACTGGAATCGGGGAGCGAGAGAGAGGACCGTCTTGATTCCGGCGCGAGATTTGATGGGTCGAGTGGCGGCGGCGACGGCGGCGACGGCGGCGGAGAGGGAGGACGCCAT